TTTTCCCTTTGGAGTTTGCTGTCTAATCTCACATTGGATGTTTCCCTTTGTTGTCCTCAAATGCCTTCTCTTGGGCTATGTCTAGACTGCAAGCCTCTTTCGAAAAAGAGTGTCTAGACTGCAAGCGGAACTTTCGAAAAAGCAAGCCGCTTTTTTGAAAGGCAGTCTGGATGCTCTCTTTTGAAAAACCCCTGTTTGCATTCAAGAACGCCTTTTTTCGAAAGAGCACTTTCGAAAAAAGGCATTCTTCCTCGTAAAATGAGGTTTACCGCCGTTGAAAGAAAAGCCGCATTCTTTCAATTTAATTTCGAAAGAACACGGCTGCAGTCTAGACGCAGGTGAAGTTTTTTCGGAAAAAGGCTACTTTTTCTGAAAAAAACCCTGAGTCTGGACACAGCCACAGAGTCTGTTCTATTATGGAATTAAACTTCTTATCTAGTCTAAAATCCCTCTTCATTAATTTAAGGCTGTTACTTATTGAGCTGTCTCAGATAAATCCTCCTTTCCTTCTGTTTTTTCCTCTGTTATTGAAGACAAAGTCTCAGAGATGGATTTCTGACTGATGCTAACCTGTGTCATTCCAGAAGCCATAGGCAAATAGGAATTGCCATCCCAGAGCTAACAAAGGGTTCAGTTAAGCTAATATCCTGTCCCTGACAAGTGGTCAGCATGAAAAGCTTTGGAGTGTAAAGCTCCCATCATGGAGAAACATGGAATAAACTGCTGAGGTAGAAGTTTCTTCCAACACTAGGCAGTTAGTGGTTGGCTTAAGCCTTGGATCATGACAGTTTTGTTCCACATTTTTTCCTAATGTAAGCTAACTTATTGGCCATGGTTCAACAGACAGTTTCAACCCTCTCTGGTCTAACTATAGCCACTCCCTGCCCCCACCAAATAGTTTCCCATCACACACATTTTCTACCTCTAAGACAGGGAGGTTTTCTAGGGTAGTCTTCAATTCATAAATGCTCCTTAATTTGCTGCCTGGATATTGCCTCTGCCAGCACCAGGTGCCCTGCTACTGGGATCTCTGTCCCAGCACCTGGGGTTATAGGAGAAAGTTCTACACCAGCTCATGTTCATGTCCCAGGTCCTGGAGCACAAACCTTCCTTTCCCAAGATACCTTCTCACCAAAATCCCTTGTAATAATAACCACTCCTCTTCATGCTGTCAGCCTGCCTCCCTGCCCCCAGTTTCAGGGTTAGCAGTGTTGATTATATACTTTTCACACTGGTTACATAACCATCTTTGCTTATCTGTAGCTCACATTCGAGTCCAGCACGAAGGCCTTAGTGAACTTCCATGCAGTGGTGACTTGGTTGGTGAAGCTACTAATGGCAAAGCAGAAAGTCCAAATCTAGACCACACACCACAGCCTCCCATTTCTCTCCAATGCCAACTCTATCTCTCAGAGTAACATTCCTCTGCCTAGTAGCTTAATCATCCTCAATCACACACAATCCATGCCCTGACTCTGACTCCACTCTGTTGTCTTCGGCAAGTTACTTCATCTCATTCTGTCTCAGATGTACCCATCTGCTAAATGGGGACAATAGTATATATCCAAAAATATATATCCACCTGTCTCATGGAGACTCATGAAGATTAATCATGCAATGGGCTAACTCCATCTCTAGTGTAAGTCCATTAAAGCCAATAAATTTCCAGCAGGGATGGATTTATTAAGTAGAGGAGGAAACCTTAGCAACTGGAACAAAGCCTCCAGCCTGCCTGCCAGTCAACAGCCTGGGAGTTTCCAAGCCAGGGATCACCAAGGCTTTTGGGCACCATTTGGGATCAAAGCCAAATGTCCTACTATTCTCCCACATGCTCATCTGCACCTTGTACCCTTGCTCATCTGGATCTGCATCTAGTCCAGCTTTGAGCCATGTGACGAAGGCAAGTTCCTGAAGGAGATGCAGCATCTTCCAGGGAAGAAGTGGAAATTTTTATTGAAAAACAAAGAAACACACAAAAAACCCAGGCAAAGCCTCAACGTGAAGAGAATCTAAAAAGCTGGATGGTGACCGTTACAAACCCCTCCCCGCATCTATTCATGAGCCCAACAAAAAGCTTCTTTAGATTTATACTGTATGTTCATTGAAAGCAAGGGAGAGAGAGCCACTCACACACTCTCCCCACTCATACAGCTGGAGCCCGCAGATCAGCTCTGCACACACAGGCTGAGCTGTTCTGCTCTTTCACAAGGAGGCACTGAGTTTTTAAAAGTAAACTGTAAGGTTTCCGTTCTTGCACTGGGCTCAAGTATTTTTTTATATATATATAACTGCTTTCTCTCTCTCTCTTTCACTCTTTAAATGGCCCTGAATGTTCTAAGTGGCTCTGTAGCAGCTGAGTTCTGGCTGGCACTGTATGTGGTCCAGACCCGGCCATGAACACGGCTTTTGTTGCTGCTGCTGGGAAGCTGGCTGTGAACTACACACACAGACCGGTTTATTCAGCACATGGAAATTGGAGTGTGTGGAGGGAGACCAGGCAAAACTGGCATCATCTTGGGGGAGCAGAACACCCCTCTCTACAGCCGCAAAAGGAAAGGGGCAGACAGTGCCGGCGGGTGAAGGGGGAAAGACGCCTCATTATGGTAGAAGGACTCTGTTGATTTTTAAAATGGGTGGGTGTGGGCAACGGAACAGCTGGCCACAGCCCCTCTAGCCCACAACTGAATCCATGCTTAGATCCTCTGCTGGTGCAAATGGAAATAGCTCCAGTGAAGTCAACGGAGCTATGCTGATTTATACTGGCTGAGGATCTGCACCACAGATGGGAAAGGAAAGCTCAATAGTATAACCCATTTTGTTTCCATTTTACTGGAGCTAACAGTTGCTTTCCCCCAAACTTCAGGCTCCTGTATGAATCCCTGGTTAGCTATCAGAGCATGCAACAAACCAAAAATAACTTGGGATCCTCCATCAGTTCTGTATATATTAATCATTTCTAACTTTATTTGGTATTAACCATTCTTTTCCCTGCCCTTGACACTTTACCTTCCCATTCGAATTAGTTGAGCGTGTAGTAGTGATGAATTCCTATTTGTTCTGCAGATGTAAAGCTCAGATGCCTGCTAAATGTTAACACTTCTTTGCAGTTGGTCTCACTCATATTCCTTTTTCCCACTCCCTCACTTTCCTATCTTCCTGGCTTTTTTCCCCACTGATTGTCCAAGGCGTTGTGCTGCTCTCAAGTAACTGCTGCCAGAGGTGTAGTTGAACATTAAATAATAGTTCAAGTGGAACAGATGGAAATTCTCCCCAAAGGCCATGCGTATTATTGGGAACAGACAGCCTGTGTGTGTAATTCTTCAGACTTTTTTAGCTGCCGGAATTCAGCCACTGAACCTAACCTGGGAAGCATGTGAGCAAACAACATCTTTGCGTCTATAGCATGTCTCCCCCCAATCCAGCACTCTGACACCAACTTGAAATGACAGTGAGAGGGGACAAACCCCTTTGATCTGTCATTCTAGCGACAGAAACAGTCATCTATCTACTTACAGCAAGCATGGGAATGTAATGTAAAAATAAAAATCAGATTAAGTGTGGCAAAACTCAACTAGAGCAACTAGCAATGCCAAGGGGAGGGGATTATTTCAGAGCTACCCAAGATTTCTACAGATCAAAGTTTGCTTCCCCAGATGTTAAAGTTGTAAATAAGCAGCTCCTACTGGAAGCAGGCCAGTAGCTCAACTTCCAAATTTGTGTGATGCCTTTGGGTGGGTGAAGAGTCTGAGAAAAATGTTTCCTCCCTCAAAACTGAAGTCCCTTACCTGGATTTCATCGATCACTACCCGGGGAAAAAAAGATAAAATAAAAAAAAAACCAAAGCAGGAGAAAGGCTCAGCACCTCATTGTTATTTTCCCTCTTGGGATCCCCTTTTTGCACACTAAAAATAATGCATTTGGTGAAAATTAAAGTTTACAAACTAAAGCTTTTAGTTCTTGGTTAGAAAACTCACAAGGAAAGAGTTAAACTAGAGCAAGCTTTCAGGGGCACCTGGCAGAAAGATATTTATGTGGCATCAGATTTAAATGAAAACTTCCAAAAGTAATGAACTGATTTAAGAAGAACGGTCTGATGCTGGTTGGGAGAAAGGAGGAATTCCCCTGAATACACAAAGCCTGCACTCTCTGCAGGCTATTGCTCAGGACATACACTGTCTGTGCATTCATTCAGAAAGAGAGGCAGGTTCTGCTAGATGCTCTTTCATTACAGGTCACTCAGCTCCAGTGCCATTACTCTTTTACAAGCAGTGTTCACTGTCACACTTTCAGGATCCAGTCCCATGTTATTCCCATCATGGGGATGAGCTGATGTACCAGCCACCCCCTTTTCAGGGTTCAACAGTCCTTTAACTAAGTTATTCCCTTTGCCCTCTATGGAGCATCATCATCATCATCGTCATCACCATCAGCAGCAGCAGTAACAACAACCCAGGTTAGGACATTTCTAAAGAAAATAAAAAGCAGAGGCTCCTTTCCATAGTGCTCATCATTACTATGAGAACTGTCCTCGGTGCTCAGCTGCCAGCTGAAATAAGTCTTAAAGAGACATTCAGAGTTTGGGGGGTCGCTTGGGAGGAAGGAGGAAAATCCTCTCCTCTACGTCCACCTGTTGATCTTGGCAGTGGTTTCTTTAAAATCAGCTACAGAGGGTTTTTCTTTTCTTTTTTTTTGCCAAAGGAACCAACAAACTCAATACATAGTTGCTACTTCTGACTGTAGGTTTAATATCCAGAAAGTGCTCCTGGCAACCTTAAACAGTACTTGTGTTCTAGACAAACTTTTATCTTTCTGGAGCTGTGCACAAGTAGAACTTGTTAGAGAAGTTTGGAGTCAATCTATTAGCAAATTCCCTCACATCCTCCAACCCCTGTTCACCAATCCACATATCTGTACCCTGCTTCCTTAGGGCACTGAGAAAAGAAAAAGAAAGGTTAAAAACAATCAAAGCAGAGATGATGGATGAAAGTGTTATACATTACCTTTAACAGTTCAGTGCAGTGTTTCAAGAATCTAAGTCCCATACACCTGGCAGAAAAGTTAGGTTTTCTCCTTTTTTTGGGTTTAATAAGGAAAGGGCTTGCCACTTCTTGCTACTACTGTATGTCTTCTTCACAGCCTCCAGATGGTGTTTCCAGTCTTTTTTTTTTTGTCCCCCCAGAAGAAATCAAAATTCCCTGTGTGGTATGTCAGGTTCCTTTCAGACAGTGGCAGCAGGAGCAGCAGCACGGTTGAAGAGTACTATACGTGAGTGTGAAAAAAGAGAGACGGTTTGCAACATCAGACCACGTTTAGCTGCCACTGGCTGTAAGAGAGACCTTTAGACTCCTCCTGTCAGCCTCCTTAGATACCTCCTGGAATAGCTGGCAGATTACTAAATGTATTGGATCCTCCTCGACTCTCAGAGTAAAGGTAGGCAGGCATCCAGAGGAAATAACACATGGGCAGGGGGAAATAGGAGGGCTCTGGGACAGAAACAGAAGCCCTGCCCAGCCTCTTGGAAAGAAGGGGGAAAAAAGCAGCAAAAGAAAAGAAAAGATGACTTAAAAAAAACTGCAAAGGGAGAAAACTGAATGGGGAGGAGGGGTTGGGGATTTAACATAGCTTTCCGGTTTGGAACTAGTTAGACTGGGAACCACAAGTGATTGATAGAAAGGAATAAGTTAGGTAATGAGGGAAGAGAGCCATATGGGGTTTATGCAAAATAAAATAGAAAAATCTAATTAAAGAAGGTGAGTGAAAAGTGTTAGAGTGTGCCTGCAGGCGGACAGGAATTAACAGACTTATTTGGAGTAATGTAGAATGGGAAGAGCCCAGAATTAGAAACATCAAAAAAAAGTTTAGAGCAATGGTTCTCAAACTTTTTTCATTTGCAGAACCCTAAATATTTTGCATGGACCCCTTTGGAAATTTTACACATAGTCTGAGGACCTGCAGACCACAGGTTGAAAACCACCGTTCTATGGTAACAACCACCTTTCATGGACCCCTTAGATATAGTCTGCAGACCAGGAGTCCACAGACCATAAGCTGAGAACCACTAGTTTAGTGCATTCTGGTGTGGTTTTGACTGTTTGACTGGTACATCTACACTGCAACACTATTTTGAAATAACTAGCGCTAGTCCGAAATAACTTAGTCCATGTGTACACAGCAGGCAGTTATTTTTAAATAGTGTCAAAATACTGTCAAGCTGGAGAACTTCTTAATCCGACTCCTGTAACCCTCATTGTATGAGGAATAAGGGAAGTCGGAGGAAGAATGCTCTATTTCAAAATAAGTGCTGGGTAGACGCTCCCTATTTTGAAATAAAATACACAATTGACATGGCACAATTTGCATAGCTTATTTTGAGTTAAGACCTACAGTGTAGATGCACCCTTAGTGAGGGGAGGGATCAAGAGTAGGAAGAAGAGGGGGACAGGCAGAAGAAAGAGGAATTTGGAGATGGAAATATGATGAGGATTTCTAGCACTAAGGAATGGAAAGGGTCCCAAAACCTCAGCAGCCAATGAGCCACTTAAAAGTAATGAAGTAACAAGATACTGTCAATGAAAGAAACCTGTTTAAAGGCTGGGAGGAATAAAAGATGAGATGGGAGAAAATACTGAGCCAGGAAGAGCTTGGGAATGAAGCAATGACCAAAAAACCCTCAGTTTGTTTCTAATAACTAAATGCAGTCTTAATCTGGAGTGAGTCTGATGGGGGAAGTGCTGAGGGTGCAGAGATTTGAAACATGGCAATGGGTGTTCACTCCACTGGCTGTGAGCAAGTTCTGGTGGCAGAGAAGTTGGTCTCCAAACAGAGGGAATATATTTGCTTTTGCAGATTTAAACCCTGGCTGGTGGAAAGACTGGGTGGTAGAGGGTGTGAATTGTGGCACGTTGCCTAGAATTCCATCTCCAGTTTGCCATATCCAATCCATCCTAGGCAAGTAGCAATCAAAAGCTGATACTCTATGATGCCTGTGGGGCAGCCTATATGAAAAGAGTAGCTGGGTTCAATCTCATTGACAGGTGTCCTCTTGGTAACCTCCCAAATGATACACCTTAGTAGCAACTTCAATAGAAAAACCAAGAAATGATTGGGCCATGGAACAGATCTCTCCTCTCATACCTACAGAGGCCTCTCCAGGTTATGCTGAGTGTTTATCCCTCATTTCATATGTGCCCACCCCCAGAGCATCTGTTTGGAATAGCACAGTTAAAAATACCATATTTTTACCTCGACGTGGTCCATGTTTGATCAGGAAATTCTGCAATGACAAACAAGGAGGCTCATCATGTCAAAGCACAGAACCCCATGGGAAAACACAGGACTTCAGAGCAAAGAGATGCTGGTCTTCTTAAAAGGAAGCCATCTCCCCACTTCCATACCTCACAGGCGAGAAAGACAGAAAGCCCTAGAGAAAGCTCCTTACAACTGGCTGTGTGACTAGGAGTCGCCAGGGTGCTAAAAACAGGCACATGCACAAGGCCAATAGGAATCATATTTTCCATCAAGGAGCTTCTGAGTCCCTTCCATCCAAAGTCTGCTATTTCCTTAGCCACACGTCCACTGCCTTTCTCATGATTAGAGCCAAGCAAATACTTGATTTTTTTTATTCAATAGCTAATCCAGAAAATCACAGAGCCTGGAGAAACACATGTAGGTGACCTGCCTATCCACAAGTAACTCATCATAACTCAGTTGGGGTATGTCTACACTACAAAAATAATTTTTGTTTGAAACCAAATCTGAATTTTTATTTTTTTTTTAATTTTTCTTGGTGAAATGAACAGTTGAAAAAATTTCATCTGGCTCAAGAGAAACAAGTTAAATATCAACTGAAAACAACATTTTCAAAATGAACGATATGGACCTTTCCAAAATTTTTGTTTTCATTTTTTGCGGTCCAAACTATTTACCACATTTGACTCAAATTCACAAATAATTTCTGTGGCAAATAGTAAAATTACTATTCTCCGAAAAAGAAAACACCTTGCAGTATTTGTGACAGCTGTTGGTACACATGCTCCATTCTGTACGATCCTTCTTCAAGCTTGCCACCAATAATGTTTCATCTCTTGGTCTTGTGTACCCTCTGCTAGTTAAAGATATCCTGTCACCTTCCCTGGCCCTGAGATCCTCAAAGTTGCACTTAAACTGCTCTCCTACATAGCAGCATAGTGGATTGCACCTCCATAGCACATCATTGCCAGCTGCCTTTGAATGGTCCTCACCCTGATGAGGAGGTGTCCAGAATGCTGACCTACCACTACATCTGTTTAGAAATTCTTTCCTCACTGGCTCCAAAGCCCGAAAGTACCTCATTGTCTTTTAGTAGCTTGGCCCTGCCTGGGAAAGCTGGTGTTTACATCCTAGGCATGTTCCATGGATTTCTTACTTCCTTGCATCTTAAACTACATTCTCCTTCCCAATCAGTGTTTCTCCTTCTATCTCCTTTGCCAGGATACTAAATATCTATTTCCCTGTCTGTTCCCTAATTCCTTCTTTGACTTCCTTTTTTTATGATTATAACTATTTTCCATCTCTTCTGGAATTTTATTTTAACCCCGTCCCTCATATTAAATATGCCTCCTTCTCTGACTCACTTTTAAACTTGATGTCCACTGTCACCTCTGAGAATCTGTGCCCTTTCCCAGCAGCAATGCATCCGTCTTCTTGACAGCTAATGTTCGCTGACCACAGAGCCTGGAGAAACACATGTAGGTGACCTGCCTATCCACAAGTAACTCATCATAGCTCAGTTGGGGTATGTCTACATTACAAAGTTAATTCGAACTAACGGATGTTAGTTCGAATTAACTTTGATAGGCACTACACAAGCGCTCCGCTAGTTCGAACTTAATTCGAACTAGCGGAGCGCTTAGTTCGAACTAGGTAAACCTCATTGTATGAGGACTAAGCCTAGTTCGAACTTACTAGTTCGAATTAAGGGGTGTGTAGCCCCTTAATTTGAACTAGTGGGAGGCTAGCCCTCCCCGGGTTTCCCTGGTGGCCACTCTGGCCAACA